AGCGCATTAATGAAGTACAGTATTCATTCGTTTCGAAGGAATAAAATTAAAAAATAAACAAACAATAACAATCGCAATACAATAATTAAGGAGATAAAATTTTCTTTATTATTAAAAGATGCACATTTTATTGGATAACAATATTATATATTATTAAATAAATACATGTTAGGGTCTTGTTAGAATGTGTGTTGTGTACAAAAGTAAGTGATCAGGTTGAGTTTATTAATATGGTTACTTTAATAAATTCATGAAAGCAAGCTTTCGGCTGAACATATTACGACTCCGTTAATGTCAATTTGGTGGCCTCGATTTAGCTCTTCATTATATGAGCTTATCTACATGAAACTTATTATTAAAATCAATAAACAAATCTGATCATAGAAGTGTTACATTTCATGACAATTGCCCTATATGCTCAAAATAGCTCCATACTCATCGACTCTGGAATCCGACCCTGGAATAATGTGACTCTTTTTGTAAAATTATTAAATAAATTAATGAAAATGGTATTGAAACATTGACTGGAGATTATAGAAAATTTGTTTTATCGCATCATTACTCTGGAATAATATATCTTAATTATAGCACCTACCCAATCGTAATCTTCTCATATTATAATGTAATATTTCTAACTATACAACAGAGTCGCGTAGTGATATCTTGTAATTACTCAATGAGCGCTAAAAATTTTTTTAGCCAAAATTATCTAGCTATAATGGTAAACTGTGTTTAAAAAATAATTGCCTATAGTTAATTACAAGGAAATTTCAAAGAAGTTCTATTGAAATTGTATTAGAGTGATTAATTTTTCAACGGATTTAATTTGTGACACAAATATCGCAGTAAAATATTAAATATTTCCAAAGTCAACTCCATTTATCTACACACAATATAATTTCGATCACAAATATTAGTTCAACATTATATGCCAAATTGAAGTGTATACACCATATGGAATCACCTACTTAATAAAATATTAAATTTTATAAGAAATTAGAAGACAATAAATAAACATTTCTTATACAATTTCTGTATTTTTTTTTTGTATTCATTTGTAATGATAACAATAATATAAAAATTATTAAATAAATTTACTATGAAAGAGTACATACACACACACACTATACAAACTTAAATTATTCCATTATCCATATATGTTTTATACATAAAACAAAATTTTCATACTGCTGCTGCTGCTGCTGCTACAACTCCTTTATCTTTTATTAACTATACGGGATATTTTTAATGATTATGAATTAATAGAATATCATCCCACGTTATATTGTTATTAATTTTAAATATATAGAAAAAAATGATATTGATATTGATGAATGCGAGTTGATGTCGAAGAAAAACAAATGATAATTTTGATGAAGAAGATGACTGTAAACATAGATAGTCCTATAACATAATGAAATATCTATATGGAATAAAATTTCTTCTTCCCAGGAAACAGTTGTTCTTTTGTGGTATTGTTCACATCCGTAAAATATATTATTATGTATATTTGATTAGTTAAAACTGAAAACTGTTCAAATGAATAATGGTGCTAAGACAAGAGTCCATATAATATGAAAATTATTATAATTGTAATTGCCATTTTTATAATTTTGGTTAAATTATTTTGATTAGGAGTTTTGTTGGCTTGATAATGACTTCTTATCGTATTTGTATTATAACAAAAGTTCTATATTTTATTGAAGTATGATAATGTTTTGAGAAATAGAGTATCTCTTCTGCGTAAATAGAAGTTAAAAAATGGGGAAATGCCGAACGATCTCTGTCATTAACAATTTTTATGGCTCAAATTGAAAAATCTTTATTAAAATCTTTTTCAAGCACTCTGCGAACTGATTCCTTAAAAAAAATTTGATTCTTTATTGGGAGTGTTGGTCTCCTCCTTCGCGAGCAGCTCAGCCTTCATGTTATGTTTCAGTCTAAATTTCCTTACCATCCAATATTACATAATTGACCACTCAGAATATTTGATTTTAAATGAGATTTTTGAATCAACGGCTTGGATTTTATGGTATGTGAATCCCATCACATATATTAGGGACACAATTCTTCAATGAATTCTAACATATAGCTGATCTTGATGAAATTTTTATTGAAACTGTATTATATTACTCTTTATTTTGTAGTATCTCACAAGGCGAAGGAGGAGGAGTCCCGCTGAAAATTTATTTCGGTTTCTATCTGTTAATTACCTAGATGGATTAAAATTCTAGCATGATTAAGTTAAGTAATTCTAAAATTAGATTTTTAACGGGGCGACGCAAAATTAAAGAAATTCATTGGGGAATACATTTATACATTATATTTGAAAAAAAATAGTTACGTAATGCATATTGGGTTACATAATGTTTGGTTTTGTGTCCGTAGTCCTTAAGAATATTTGTTTAATTTTTAGTTCTGTCTTTAACGTAGATATTTTCGGTATTTCCTTTTTTACGTTTTGTTATTTTTTGTTATTTATTTTGATGAAAAAACTCTTAAACAAACTTATTTGTAATATCTGTTTTCTTTTTTTGTTTTCTTGTTTTTCATTGGGGAAGACTCTCCCTATATGATTGAATAATATTATAACAAAACTAACGTTCTTATGTTTATGTCATGTTCAACTACTTGACGTACATAAACGACCGAACAAAAACTTGTCATTTTATTTTTACTTCGGATGATTTGTTGTTTTCAACTCCAACCAGATGAAATTCTCGAAAATATTCTGTATCTTCTTCTTCTCGCTGCCTCTCTTTCCATGCACATTTTATGTACATATAATATTACTACATCCTTGATTGTTTGTATGTATGGACTAAAGTTGTCATCAATATAATTGAATTGGAATTTGGAAACAATAATAATGATGATGATAATAGTGTTATTCCTGTTGATGATAATGATTGTGATGATTATATATGACGGTGATATTGACGGTGATATTAAAAATTCCACTTTATATTTTTGTCGTATAAAATTAAGTGTTGATTTTTGTTCACGAATCAAATTACAAGAGCAAACAAAAAAATTTTTATTTTTTTATCAAGTAGCTCTTACATTTTTATATTTTTATTTTATTGATATTTAACTGCAATTAATAAAAATCAATGAATTTTATAAAAAAAATCTTGGACCCATACAAGGTTTATTAAAGAAATATAAGATTTTACTGTATTGAGATTAATTTAAAATTAATATTTAAATTTTTAATTAATTAACGATCTTACACTACTGTATGAGGTTTAATAAAATTATTTAATGGGTTATTAAAACGCCATAAGAATGTTGCTGGCAAAATTGCACAGTTTTTTTTATTTTTTTTTTTAAATTTTTATTTTATTTTAGTAACACAAAATGGGTTAGAGAAAATTAAAATTAATATTAAATATTTTGGACTCTCATAGTGCTCATACATAACTTGTAATTTAAGTAATAAAAGGGTTCTTGCATTTTGCTTATGTGTAGTCTAATAAAATTTATTAATTAAGCATTCTACCACTTTTTCATATTCCTTGCATTTTGCGGTTCTTTTATTTAAATTTTTAAAAGTTTCTTTAAAAACGCTTTCTACCTCGATAAATTTCAAGAGTTTTTTGAAAAATTTTTCAAATGATCACAAGAACATTCAGAATTGCTCTTTTAGTTTAGTCAGAAAACAAATTTAAAGATTTTTAATAATTTACTTGATATATCTAGTTGGACTTTCCTTATGTCAGACCTTATAATTTGTATTAAATTCAGAAAAAAATCAAGAGTCTTCTGTATTTTATGCTGGGGAGGATATTAAGGGTATTTAATGAAGCGTAAAGAGTCTTTTTCGAGTAAAATTTGTACCAGGCCCTGCCAAATAATTTATTAAAATGTCATAGTTTCTTAAGAAAATTAATTTCTTTTAAAAACTCAGAAATATTGTTGTGACATATTTTCGCTTTCACTCTTAAAGTCTTGAATATTGTAAATTTGGCTCACTTGCTTCCCTTAATTTCACATTCTGCTGTTATTATTAAATGTTTGCTATTTTGTATACTCAATGATTCTTCGTTCCCGGAATTTTTAATTGCCTTGTTTATTAATTATCCATAATCTGTGTTAACAAAAGAGTAAGTCATATCTGTTGGTTCTTCAATTGATTTTTTTTGCTAAATCATCCAATTCCTCATTTTCATACGCATATTCTATAATTGGGTGATTTGTACAATACTTTTTTAATTCCTTGAATTGCACTAAGAGAATCAGTTTAATATGCACTGAGAATATTATTTTTCTTATTGTTTTTAATAGCATATTCAACAGTTTTTATATATTGCATATAATTCGGCTGAATACATATTATGCTTAAATAATTTGCAGTGTGGAATTTTTCGATTGAAGTGTTTATATTTAAAAGCAGAACTAGTTTGTACGCCTACGTTTGTTGGTAATGTTATTTTTTTTTTTGCCAAATAAAATAACAAATAGTATCAAATTCAATATTTTTGTTCACTGCCAGTTTTTAGAAAATAAATCAAGTATCCTTAAACATAATCATTAAAATTATAGAAATTAATTTGAAATATTTTATTATTTTCTGTTCATTGAATATTAAAAATTGCTAATTATCAACACAAGATCTAGTTGTTTACAATTTTTTTTTTTGTGTATTTCAAATAGAAGAAATTTCTTCATACCATTGTAGCTCAGTTGGTAGAGCGTCCGCCTAGAAAACGGTAGATTGCTAATTCGAGTCCAGTTGGCCGAGAAAAAGTTTTTAATAAATTTTTCTGCCTTGACGTTATCCATCTGTTCTGCAGCTGTATGAAGAAATTTTCATAAGTTTTTCTTGTAAGAATATTACAAATTTTTTAATATATTAAATCAAAATATTTAGTTAAAAAATCTAGTGCCATAAATACTTAACCAAGTTAAGATTTGAGTAAATATTGTACTAAATTACTAAAAATATTATTGTCATATTATTTTGCATAAATGTGGAAGTGAAAATTTAACAAAAGAAAATTAAAATGTTTAAATAAAGTGCTAAAAATAATAGTGAATTTTATATAATTAAAATTCAATATCACTATAACATTAAAATTACTATGTAATTTTGTACGAAAATTTTTAACAATATGGGTAATTCATCTTCTTCAAATAATGGCGGAAATAAAAATAATCGAAAATGTCGAAGTTTACCAAATTCACCAGATGTAAAAAGGTAATAAAATTTATGCACATATTATAAAATTTTAATGTAAAAATATTTTGAACGGTAATGAAAATTAAATTTTTGTTAACTAAATACAGGAATACCAATCAAGTTTATTTTAATGAAGACTTAGGAAAAGAACAGTTTAAAAAGATTATGTTCTAAAAATTTTTTCGAACTGGTGCGAAATTAATAAGCGAGCCTGCTTTTCTTCCTCCATTATGAGTTATTGAGAATGGGCTTCTTATGTTATTATGCCTTCTTTATCCTTTCCGTACTACATATGGTTTGCAATTAATGTCGCATGTTTCTGTTTTAAGTCTTAATTTAAAACTTCATCAACAAGTACTTCACAAGACAGTTGAATTTATTATTGTTTACATTTCAAAAATAAATCAGTACCGAGTAATTATAAAAGTCTTATCAGTATAAGAAAAAAATATAAAAGCCTCAAAGTGAATATTTTCATTAAATAAAATGTGGGAACAAAACAACCAACACAAAAAATATTTCGAACTTTGTACTCATTACAAAATAATTTTCTCTGTTTTGTTCTCAATTTAATTTATGACACTGATTGACTTGTAGTAAATCAAGTACTTATCAACAATATTCAAAGTTTCATAATATTTCTTAGAAAGTCTAGAGTATACCTATATACATACCCCAACATATTATTATGAAAGATCATATTTTTGTTTTCAATTTCAATATCTTTTAAAAATCCTTATCAGAGAATTAAAAAAGAAATTTAATCATTATTATACAATATTCAACAGAAGAATGTGAAATTTTGGGAGGCAAGAGACAAAATCAATAATGTCTACTACAATTTTTGATATACATAATTATGTTTTCTCTCTTATGTACGAATTAAATATGTATAACAATAAAATTTAAAATATTTTTTTTTTTAATAACTTCATTTTAATCATAAATTTAAAAATCTATACAATCAATCATATTTTTTTTAAATTATTTATTATTGAAATACAATTACTTTATTATTATGCTCATTTTTCGACAAATACTTTCGATTTATATTATAGATATTATGTACACATTATATACGAAAGTATTATGATGGTATACCAATATAGCCTTCATTTAATTTACGGTCATTGAATTTATTAATACATTGAACTTTATAATAATAATTTCACTTGGAATCTATATAAAGAATATATTATATAAGAATACAAAATTGTTACTGTATAAAATAAAATTAAAAATCTAAGAGTATAGTGAATTTGTGTTATTGTAGGGTACTGCATATCAAATAAACAATATAATTTTAGAGTACCCCTACAATGTAACACACACCTACAATGAAAATATTTCAAAGAATAATTATTCTCAATATAATTGAAGTAATATTGTTGAAAATAGCCGTGGTCGAAAATTTTTCTGTAAATTCGAGCCGTACTTCAAATTGTTATTTTCATATTATTACGCTTTTTGCCGAACATTGTGTAACATAAACGTGTATAAAAAAAATTGATACCAGCATTTATAAAACTTTTAAAGACAATGTAAAAATATTGCATATGGACCAAATTTTTTCGAGATAAATTAGGCGAAAAATTTGACAAATCAATTTATTCATTAATATTATTGACTGTATCGGGATCACTTTTAGAATTTAGTTCCGAAGAAATAGTGTACCTGTTGCCAAAATGTGGAGAAGATAGTGAGAATTTTTTAAATTTAGTATGACACAATTTTCGAATTATTTTTAATGCCTCTGTTATTCCCATTATTAAAATATTATTCCTAGCAGGCTAGAATCATGATTTTCTAGAAATTATATTTTAGTAATGCAATAACTAGGCGTTTAGTAATGCAATAACTTTCCCTGGTCGTATACAACAACAACACGAATTGGATCAGCAGATAAATGAATTCAAATAAGGTGTAAATTTAAGAAATTAGACCTACTGTATACCGCGTTTCCTCTTCAGAATTCAAATATCCAAAAAATATTGCAAACGGTCGATGATTTTCATGATATTTCACATAATTTTCAATGAGAAAACCGAGGCAATAATATTTTTAGCTTCTTTAACAAAAACAACAAACGAAAAAACGAAAAAAAATTCATTTTCCAATAAAATATTGAGAAGAGCGTAACACTGCCCTATTATGGTAAAGGGAAATTTTTTTTTTATTCCTCTTTTTTTTTTTCAATTTTTGTTATGTTTGTCAAAGATATGTCAAAGTCAAATATAAAAAAAAAAATGTGTTTTATTTTTGGAAATTTTTACTAACAACATACAAAATGTAACATAAAAAAAAAAACAAAACGAAAATAAAAAAAAAAAAATCAATTGTAAAAATAAAAATTGAAAAACCTTGGAAATAAAAAACACAAAAACGTTTTTGACCAAAATTGTCACCATGATTAACCGAAGCCAGAAAAAAAATTATACAAAATCAGAAAATGAAAATGACAAACTTTGAATCTTAATGGTGTTTCTTTTTAGTATAAAAGATCGAGGACAAGAAATTTTTGAACAACAACAACAACAGCAGCAAATTCAAATTGAATTCATAAAAAAAAAATTGGGTATATAATTTAAGGTTTGACTTACGGTCTCTTCTAAAATCATTCCAGCATGGAACATTAAATCAGAAAATTGAAATCTAGAAAAATTTATACAACAACCTAAAAGAAACTGAAAAAGAAAAATCCAAAAATATCGGCACAATAAATCATAAAAAAAAAAAAAATTGTCCTAGATTTGAAAAGTTGTTTGAAACAAGATTCCATATTTTGTTACCCCCGATTTCTTTTTCTTATTCTTTTACAATTACAATTTTGTTTACTCTGTTTTTCTTTATTTCAATTAGAGAAGTTCAAAAACATGTTCGATGACAATATGAAATAATACACTCAAATTATCGTAATTATTTTATTATGTTGCTTGTCAGTGTAAGAAGAGTTTGAGAAGTTAAGAAAGCCTATAATAAATAAATAAAACACATGTATTTTTATTACGCGAATTGATAATAAATTGTGACATACTTCAAGGGTGGTCCAAAAGGAATGCCGTTTTAATTGCAAATTACTTGCATATATAAACAAAGTTAAAAATAATTTTACACTTACCAATTGAATGTGCTGCATTCAATTGTTGATAATATTTGCGATTAGAAGATGATGATTTATGAGAAACAATAATTACTTAAGGTTCTAACACGAAGAACATGTTGCGTTGATGGGGAAAACTCGCTTATTATAAAAACATAACCAAAGCGGTGAATGGTTAACTTAGAACAATAGCGAAACAGCAAAATCAATTGCACTGTATTTTGTACATAATGTCACACACTCGTGGAAATAAATAATGCCAAAAAAGAACGTCAATGGGATTTACGCTATCTTACCGTAGATGATTATGAATTCGCAGTAAGTTCGCTTGATTCTGGGAAATCCTCTTAAAATACACGAGTTCTGAGATTTCGAGATTCTGTGGAAAATTGCTCTTGTTCTATTTTCTTATATCAAGTAGAAATGGAAGACAGTCGATTATTTACTAAAAGTGCAATTGAAAATTTAGTGTATTTGATTTAAAATCACAATGGTCGATTTATTGAAAATAGTTTACCAGTCTTTTTGCGTTCAGAAGGGTTAGGAATTGTGTTGTTACGCCGATTTTCTTCTTATTTTTATGTACGTAAATAACTAATTTACCATTTAGGGGAACATGTAACACTCTAAAGTAGTTTAAAGGTATGTTTTCGTACATTTATTCTGTGAGATGGAATAACTCCAAGTTTTGGATGTTCTTGTGAAAGGAGCATGGATTTAAACAGTAATTAACATTGATTTTTGCAATAAATATGTCAAAAATTATCATATTAAATATTTTCGCCCCCTTCAATTTACAACACACTTGTACCCCTCACAATTAATATGATTTAGTCATATTTTTTAATATTTTTAGATATTGCTAAAAATTAAAATTACTAAACTAAAATTATTGAGACCGGCGCACATTATACACTTTTTTCTATTCCAAAAACTTTACATTGTTTACAATTATTTGTAGACTTCTTTGTACTAATAATGTTCTAAAACTCCTCACCATACTTAAATTCATTCCAAGCTTATAATAACTATTCTTAAATGCCGGTAAATTATTGAAACATCATCGCAATTTATTATTTTTATTTCATTAATAGCAAAATATTAAAAATTTTTACACAAGTTACTGATAAAAAAATAACCAATTTTTATAAATTTATTAGCACACCGCACGCAGCTTAGCAATTAATATAATAAATATTAATATAATCAGGATAGCAGCTACCTTACTTTATTCACCATATTACTCATTATAATTTCATAAATTTCAAAATGAATGAAACAGAATTATATGAAAAAAGGAAATTTACTCTTAAATGGAAATGACAAAAAAAAGAACGAACCGGTTTCTTGAACTTATCTAAACGATATTTTCTGTAATAAAATGTAAAATGTTGAATAACGGTGTTTAATTAATATGAACTGCTCTCTAAATTAAATTATCATTAATACTCATAACAAGGTAAGAAGAAAAAATGTTTCAGTTAATATTTAACGACTAAGAACTTATGCCCTACACGCATTTCATATAGTTAAGTACCAGCAGTCTACTGTGAATACTTTCTGCGAAAATTAGCTAATCTAGTCGCAGAAGCTTTTTTCCGGTCCTTTCCCTTATTTTAAAAAGTTGCATATTATTTAGTAGCATCTTTTGCATAAATTAAAGGAATCTTAATCAGCAGATTGAAGTTGAAACAATACTAACTTCTGGAAATAGTTTCTGTGGAACGCAAGGTAGTGAACATTTCAGTCGTTAATAACTTTTATCGTTACTCCGAAATTTAATTGGTATTTTTAAGAGGGAGCGCCTAGAAAACGTTATATTCTTAGGTTTGAAGGCAGTTTGAACAGAAAGTTTTTTTAAATTTTTCTTTATTGATTCGTTTCACCGACTCATCTATTCTGCAATTGTATGAAGTAA